ACAATTGGCCTCGGTACTGCTAGGTAAAGGAGGGAGAAATAAAACTCAGCCAAAATTTCTGCTCCCTAGTGCTAGAGAGTGATCCTGTTCATGCGGTTGACGTGTGGATGCTGGATGAGAGGTGTCATCCAGAGCATGGACTGAGGTCAGCTACAATGCCAGTCATGGTCAAATAATTGCTGACATGCAAAAGGGCAAGGCATCAAAGTATAAATGGTGGCTATGAAACTGTGCCACGCATCAGATCCAGAAATAGAGGGAAGAAAATTGAAAAATATATCAATACAATGAAAATGCGCAAACTGCCCAACCAAACTGCACTCAAATCAACCAACAAATGTATTCATATTCCAATGGCCAGGTCACCACTCCAACTGCCTAAGGCCCCTGAATTTCATAGCAGGATTTCTTATGGTTCAATATTTGGTAGGCAGAGGATCAATGACAACAACAGCATTCGTCTTATGAAATCAAAGCTTTGATTTTGGAAAAAAATATTCTCCATTAAGTGTCTCTGTTTTCTCAGGAGACGTTATTTAGAGCAGAGTGAAGCACACTTTCTGTGTCTCCAGATTCTCCTTGTTGCACTTAGGGCAAAGTACCGTGTTCCATCAGCCAATAAGTTATTCAATAAAATCAGAATGATGAATGTAGTAGATCTGTTTATCTTATCCATCAGGCCTGTTTCTTTCTGTAGGCCTGGGATGAAAGTTAGAATGCTTTGGTTCTCATCACTAAAATGTTCAGTGCGCATAACCTCAGCATTCCAGAATTCTGGAAAGAACAGACCTGGACAAAAGCTGAAGTATGGTTTTAACATCAGAATGTTGCTCACAAGCAACCAAATGGAATGAATGTAGTTTGCTTGATGACTCAGTTGGTAAAACTGCTGCCAAATATGAAACAGAGCCATACAAGGTCCCAAGGTCTGATCCCCAGGCTTAGCTTATCGCAGCCAGAGAAACATTAGAAGCAATAACATTGGCTTCAGTGCCCCTAGGCTGTGGAGATGAAAGTAAGCAGAGTTCTAATCCAGGGACTCCTGCTAGTAAGTGCACGTGTGCCACCAGACAGGTATCAGTTATGAGTTTATGTTCCCCTCGTGATAGTCAATAAAACTCACCAATAACCACTATTTCAGCTCAGTTGAAGAAGACACTTGGGTGAGGTATCAAAAGACACCAAGTACCCACAGATACGGCATCTTCAAGAAAGGGAGAGGAAAATGAACAAAAACAAAATCACTCAGTGGGCCTTCAAGATAACATTACTGGAAAGAACAGTCCTGATGGTCGGGTGGGTAAAGAAACCATCCAGAATTGTCCTAGATCATATAAGACCAGAAAACTGCAGGTTCAAATCTCACTCTGTACTGTCCTTAGCGTCCATGGGCTTACTAGGGGAAAATAAAAATAGGCTGAATACAATTAAACTAGATGTGAAAAGTAAAGCAAGTTCTATTCTTTCAGCATTGAATTTACGAGTGCTGTGATGTCAATCATTTTAGCTATTAAACCACCCCTTACATTACCCCTGTTACAAAACAGCAATACGAGTCTAAGGAGAAGCTGAAACAAGCTGTCACTGATGTATTTCATCTCATCACTCCATCCATGCTACAGAAGATGTTGCACTGAAAATTTTCATCTGCCATGAAAATGATGGCGCTCGGACCAATCCTCTGGACATCTAGACACAGTTAAACACTTAAGTACTTCTAAATACAATTATCACAATAATAATAATCCTTGCATTTGATATAGTGCTTTTCACGTCTTCGAGATGTCTCAAAGCGCTTCACAGAATATACTGTAAAGTGAATTGACTGTATATTTTGTGGGCAAAACGCAGCAGCCAATTGCACACAGCAGTGTCCCACAAACAGTCGTGGATTGAAGTGACCAATTTATTATTGTTTTTTTTCTTGAGGGATTATTATTAGGCGTGTGGAGTAAGGAAACTTGCCCAAGATTTTGCCCTGCTGGGAATCGAACCTTGAGGGGCAAGTGCTCTAATCACTGAGCTACAGGACTCCACAATTCTTACACACGTTTCAGTTGTTGGTCAGTGCACTGTAGGGGGGAAAAAAAACTTTGCGCTATCCTGTACAAGCCATCAACGTCAACTCTTGACCACATCTTTCTCAATTGTGAGGCATTTAAACTGGTGCCAGAATCCTCTGTTTATTTTTTTAAATAAAAACCCATCTTTCTCTGGATTTGAATTCTCTGGATAGTATATCTTTAAGAGCTTTCTCAGATGTCAGACTTGTCCTCCTGAGCTCCTGTCAGCCCAGTTATCATGGATCACAAACCTCTCCTGCAAAATTATTTGTTACAATTCATATGTTGAAGATTTCAGAAATATTCATTCAACCCACCATAGGTTAAGAGGGGTTTAGCATATTATTCATTTATCTACAAGCCAATAGAAGACAAGTGTTGTGACATCATAGAAAAGGATCTTATGAATATCACAGAAAAATGGATGATTAAATGGCACTTGTTTAAATGTAGATTCTGTTGCAATATTGCTTCACTTAGTTGATGTCTACACCTACCCTTGGAAATGCACCGTACATCACACTCGCAACTGTTTGCAGACTGTCACACCCACTCAGACCCCACCACCCAGTGCAATGCTACACTTAACCCCTTCAATGCCAGAACCTTTGTTTGTTATGTGGTGATCTAGATTTTTAATGCAGATCACAGACTAGATAAGCCTGTACGTTGTCGCTTCCCTTTATCTACAGTACATCACTATCTAGTTAAAAAGTCATCTTGATCCAATTGCACTCACACAAGGGAGGTGACAGAAAGCTTAAAAGCAATGAAAAAAAGCACAAGACAATGACAAATTCAATTAGCCTCAGCATCACTGGATTAGTCAACCAGGGTTTCTGGTCCAAATCACCCCAGTACTTTTCAATTTTCTTCACTCATCTGAAAGCATCTGATTCCTTTAAGGAAGGAAGCTCTGGAGTAAGATTTCACAGATCCAAAATAGTCATTATTCAAATGTGAGCTTTGATAGTGAGGGTTGGAGGTCTATTCAAATGGGCAGGGATGGGTGACACATTAGAGCTGATCCCAATCTTGTCTTCACTCAAAATCGACATTTGCACCTTTCGAGGAGGGAGTATCAGAATAGCAAGCGCTCTCGGACCCTACCTTGTGAGAGGGGTGCTGTATAAATGCAAGCTGTTGATGTAGCAACCAGGAACCTTGCTACTTTTCCCATATCTCTAAAATGCTGAGGCCAAATGTAACAGAACATCCACTGCCTTGACTCAAGCACTGATCGGGAGGTGAACCTGCCTGCAGCCTTCCCGTCTGAATAACGTTAAGGTGCACCAAGTGGTGCTGTTACTCACGCGGCCACTGGGAAGCTATGGTGCGAGTCAACAATGGGAAAGGAAGTGGATGTCTGACTTCCATTGGACACAATTTTCATCACCGCGAACGCAACTAAATAGCACAGCAGCAAATTTTTGACAAATCACTCCCATCGAATATAATGACTCTTGGTAACCGAGTTTAAGTACTTTAAATGGGCGAGACTTTTGATTTGATTGGATAAAGCAATTTTATTAGGTAATGGCCACTTATTTAAAATGTCCTCCAGAATTAAACAAAATCAATTCCAAAACTGTGGTACTTAAGCTCCACAAACCTTCCAGTTTTCGAAAATAAAGATTTTATTAAGCACGTTTAAATAGGCTTTGAAAGGGAACATGGAGAGATCATGGTATTTCCATGGTTCTGAAATCATGCAACTCCTCAGAACCTGCCACAGCAGTTACTGACCAACGTAGGACTTTATCACTTATGGATAAAGAGATTTAAAATGGCAGCGTGGGGACACATGGAGCATTTTAGTTGTACGTATTTGGAAAGTGAATTGGTTTGTGAAAATGTATGCGCATTAGGATTTCAATTAAACTTTACATTGCCAGACACCCGTTCCATTCATTGTCTGACATGTGATTAGTGCAGTGGCTATTCCCTGAACAACCCTCTGACTGATAGTCGCACTGACCGGAGGTATCTGGAGCTGTCACTACCATTAATTGAACAATGACAACATAATTCTGCATTGTGATTAAAATAAAACATGCATAAAACAGTTATTAGCCAAACATGCAATATATACATAGGAATAAGATGGGAAAGAAAATTAATTGAAGGCAATTCCTCCCATATGATCGCATATGTGGTCTCCCACTTGCGTTACAGTGTAACAAAGAGACTGCGCGATGCGGGTCACTGACGGACACCCATCAATAAGCACAAAGCGATGGGAGAAGCGTCTGTCCATCACAGAGCGGTAATCGGCTCAGATTCATTGACAAAGCGACTTCACACCCGGTATTGCACAGAGTGAACCCGGGGACTGACTGTCAGTACTGCTACAGAAAGCCTTCCCGGGAGAACCAGCACCTCATATGTTACCATCTATCTTAAGAGGAAAATAGTAACGTTTTTTTTCTCCCCTTTAAAAACAAAGGCGAAACAAATAATGCAATAACCATCCGTAAAGTACTGTAATTAACTCGAGATTTTTTACGCATATTTTGAAGCACAGCTTCTCAAGGGTATCGAGGACAATGTCGCTAATTGGTTTGGGGACAATATGAATATGGAATTTGACATAATTGCATTAATTTTATACCGTCTCGTATATAAAACACATTTAAGGAGTTTCTTTTTAACGCAATTAAAGAAAACAATATTTGAAAGATTTTAAAAATATTTTAAGTATAAAATATAATAATGCTTTCCTTCCCTAATTATTACCACTCGTGTTGTTCCCCTGGAGGGACACAGGTGATGCGGATGTGTTTCCCAAATCGGCAACAAGAGGAAATCTCCCAAACTGAGATCTGCTGCGATTCTGCCTTCTGCAGCCGCACATCTCCATCTTCTCCCGTCCATCCCCACTGACCGCCCTCAGGCACCTCTCGGGCTGCGATGCAGCGCCGCTCAGCTCCTTCTTACCAGTCGGTGGAGGTCTTCTCGTTGATGACATCCTCATACGCTGTCAGCAGAGCCAGTCTGTTGTTGCTGAGGTTGAGCGCCATGGTCGGTCGGTCGGTCGGTCCCTCCGCTCCGCTCCCACTCAGATCTCCGCTCCAAAGCTGCAGCTGCAGTCGCACTCAGTCTGAACAAAGGCTCCTCCGCACTGCTGCTTCCCGCAGGGTCCTGGTGCCCGCCCTCCCCCCCCCCCCCGCAACCCGCCCCGCCCCGCCCCGCACTCAGTCTGAACAAAGGCTCCTACCGCACTCGTGATCTGTCTTCAAGGTCCTAGTGTCCGCCTGTGTACCCAACCTCACACTGAAACTGAACAGACAGCTCCTCCCACAGTGTCTTCCCTGCCGGGTCATCAGGTCCATCGCGCCTGATGCCAAGCACCGCACCCCATTATACCATTCTGAAACTGAACAAATGTACATCGAGTACATGCAGTGCATTATTCAGCGTCTTAGTGTTTTCATATGTGCCAAAGACCTTTATGGAGTGGAGTCCTGTAGCTCAGTGGTTAGAGCACTCGCTTTGCAAGTGAGAGACCTGAGTTCAATTCCAGGCAGAGGGCGAAACCTCGGGCAAGTTTCCTTACTCCACACAGAGCCTAATAATAATCCCTCCAAAACAAAAACAATAATAAATTGGTCATTTTCAATCCACGACTGTTTGTGGGACATTGCTGTGCGCAATTGGCTGCCGCGTTCGCCCACAAATATACAGTCAATTCACTTTACAGTGTGTTCTGTGAAGCGCTTTGGGATGTCCTCCTGACGTGAAAAGCGCTATATCAAATGCAAGGATTATTAAGGATTATTATTATTATTATTATTATTATGTTCCATGTGTACCAACTCCCACATTGCTTAAAGTTATACCAAAGCTCCTTCCACACTGACACAAACTATGCAGTATTGCGGTACGTGTTAATGTACTACACCAGCAATGCCTACTGTAGTGCAGATGGATATCTCAAATGGGTCCTAAAGTGTATCTTTACCTTCTGCCTGCCCTTCTTCCCTTGCTTTTAAATCTGAGCATACATTAATATTAATAATAAGAAGAATAATCCTTGCATTTGATATAGCGCCACACCACATCTTCAAGACATCTCAAAGCAGAATATTCTGCAAAGTGAATTGACTGTATATTTTGTGGGCGAAACGCGGCAACCAATTGAGCACAGCAGTGTTCCATAAATAGTCAGAAATTCAGTGGCAATTTTTTTTAAGGGATTATCACTCCCAAATAGCCATCCTGCAATTACAACAACAACAAAATGACATTTGTAAAGTGCCTTTCACGTCGGGAGGACATCCCAAGGTGCTGGACAATCAGTGTTTCAGACCCGAGCTGGGGGTTGGGATCAGGGAGGGTGGAGAGCGGGGGGGGGGAGAAGGTTGATTGAAAGCATGGTTGAAGAGGAGGGTTTTGTAATGAGTCTTGACGGAGGCAAGGGAAGGGGCGAGGCAGAGGAACTGTGGGATGGAGTTCCAGAGGGTGGGGGCAGAGAGGCAGAATGCCTGCCCGCCAATGGTGGGGCGGGCGAGGTGGGGGAAATGAAGCAGGCTGGAGCCCGCTGAGCAGAGGAGTGGACAGTTGGTAGCAGGTTAGAAGGTCACAGAGGTAGGGGGGAGCAAGGCCATGGAGGGCTTTGAAGGTGAGGACCAGGATCTTGAACTGTATCCTCTGTGTGATGGGAAGTCAGTGGAGTCGGGCGAGGAAGTGGGTGATAGGGTTGCGGAGCCTGGTGTGAGAGAGGACACAGGCTGCAGAGTTCTGGATGATCTGCAGCCTATGGAAGGAAGAGTTGGGGAGGGGAGGCCGACAAGCAAGGAGTTGGTGTAGTCGAGCCTGGATGTTATGAATGCGTGTATGAGGATCTCGGTGGCCTGCGGTGTGAGATAGTGGTAGAGCCGGACGATGTTGCAGAGGTAGGAGAAGGCAGAGCGGTTCATGGAAAGGATGTGGGGTATGAAAGGATAGTTGAGGAACAAACGAGACACCAAGGTTCCAGACAGGCTCAATGAGGTGGAGTGTGCATCTTTGGATGGTGACGCTGTCAGTGCCTGAGGTGGGAAGGTGCTGATGGGAGCCAATCAGGAGGGCTTTGGTTTTGTTCACGTTCAACTATAGAAAGTTAGCTGTCATACAGAACTTGACATCTGGCAGACATTCTGTCATGCCAGCAGTGATCCTGGACTTGAGGGTGGAGGCAGAGATATAAAGTTGGGTGTCATCCGCATTCATGTGGAAATTGATCCCATGTCTGTGGATGCTGTCACCAACAGGGAGCAAATAGATATTGAAAAGGATGGGAAGAAAGACAGAGCCCTGAGGAGCTCTGCCCGAGACTGTGTAGGGGCTATAAGAGAAACCGTTTGTGGAGATGAAGTGGAGATGGTGTGAGGAGTATCATATAATCATAGAATTATAGAATTATACAGCACAGAAGGAGGCCATTCTGCCCATTGTATCTGCGCTGGTTCTCTCCCCATAGCCCTGCAAACTTGTCCTCCCCAAATAATTATCTACTTCTCTCTTAAAAGTTGTTACTGAATCAGCTTCCACCGCCCTTTCAGGCAATGATAAAGTGCAATATAAAACCAAAATAGAAGCCCACGGTATTAAAGGGACAGTAGCAGCATGCATACAGAACTGGCTGGGAGATAGAAAGCAGAGTGTGGTGGTGAACGGTTGTTTTCCTGACTGGAGGCAAGTGTGCAGTGGTGTCCTCCAGGGGTCAGTATTGGGATCACTGGTGTTTTTGATCTAAAGAAATGACCTGGACTTGGGTATAGGGAGTACAATTTCCAAATTTGCAGATGATACTAAGCAAGGAAAAGTAGTAAACAGTGAGGAGGATAGTAGCAGACTGCAAATGGACATAGACAGACTGGTAAAATGGGCCGACATGTGTAACTGAAGTCCCTTACTCATGGTACCATCTTGTAAATCTCATTTACACCTTCTCCAATGCCTTGACATCCTTGACATTCTGGTGCCCAGACTGAACAAAGTACTCTAGCTGAGGCCTAGCGTTTTATAAAGGTTTATCATAACTTCCTGACTTTTGTATTCTATGCCCCGATCTTAAGCGCTCTGTGACGCCGTCTGGTGTGGAGGACGCTATATAAATCCAAGTTGTTGTTATGAAGCCTAGTTTGCTTTTTTTAACAGCTCTATCTATCTGTCCTGCCACCTTCAAAGATTTACTTATATGAAACCCGAGGTCTCTCTGTTCCTTCACCCCCTTTAAGATTGTACCATCAACTTATATGGCCTCTCCTCATTCTTCCTCACAAAATGCATCACTTCGCATTTCTCCACATTAAACGTCATCTGCCACGTGTCGGCCCATTTTACCAGTCTCTCTATGTCCTCTTACAGTCTGCTACTATCCTCCTCATTATTTATTACTTTTCCTAGCTTAGTATCATCTGCAAACTTGGAAATTGTACTCCCTGTACCCAAGTCCAGGTCATTTATACAGATCAAAGAGTAGTGGTCCCAATACCGACCCCTGGGGGACACCACTGCACACTTCTATCCAGTCAGAAAAACAACTGTTCACCACTACTCTCTGCTTTCTGTCTCCCAGCCAGTTCTATATCCATGCTGCCACTGTCTCTTTAATACCGGGGGCTTTTTTTTGGTTACAAGTCTCTTACGTGATATATTATCAAACGCCTTTTGAAAATCCTTATAAACTACATCAACTGATTACCTTCATCCACCCTCTCCGTTACTTCATCAAAAAACTCTTATCAGGTTTGTTAGACATGATTTGCCTTTAACAAATCCATGTTAGCTGTCCTTTATTAACACATATTTTTCCAAGTGAAAATTTATTTTGTCCCAGATTATAATAATAATAATCCTTGCATTTGATATAGCGCTTTTCACTTCGGGAGGACGTCCCAAAGTGCTTCACAGAATAGACTGGAAAGTGAATTGACTGTATATTTGTGGGTGAAACGTGGCAGCCAATTGCGCACAGCAATGTCCCACAAACAGTCGTAGATTGAAAATGACCAATTTATTATCATTTTGGGTTTTGGAGGGATTATTATTAGGCTCTGTGTGGAGTAAGGAAACTTGCCCAAGGTTTCGCCCTCTGACTGGAATTGAACTCAGGTCTCTCGCTTGCAAAGCGAGTGCTCTAACCACTGAGCTACAGGACTCCACAAAGCAGGCAAACAAGTCAACTAGCAGTTAATCATAGGCCAGGTGTTGGGGATTGATAAATTTGCTGACCAGTCGAAACTGGGTGCTTTTGTTTGAGTCCTATATAAAGGAGAAGACGTGCAAGACCCTCACTTAAGCAAAGAGCCCTGCAGTGTGAGGAGGGAAGTGAGTGAGAATTTAGTTAAGAAATTTGGTGAGTGGGAATTCTTCAGCAAGAGAGATACCAGAGAGCAAGAGAGAACTCTTTCATTCCACAGAAGAGTGGAAAATCTTTCTTGTGGTTGAGGCAACAGAGTGAGAATTTTGTTAAGGAATTTGGTGAGAGTGTGAATTTGGTGCAGAGGGGGAAAGAAATGCATAATTATAAAATATATAATATTAATATTAAAACAATATAAAATATGTCTGGGAATATGGGAGGGCAGCTGAGATTGGTGGGCTGAATGACCTCCTTTGGTGCTGTATAATTCTATGATTAGCCTGTCACAATGAATCTTGAAGAAAAAGTCATCTTGTATATCTTGTACTCTAAATACCATAACCCAAAGTCCATCATGCTGATTGATCTGCAGGAATACTACTCTGACACAACCTATTTCTACAGTTCCCATGGGTTGAGAGACATTCTAACAAATTCTGAATTAGGATACCTCATATTATGGATTAGAGACCATTGTTGTTTAATGAATACTCACTGTGCCTGTGCCCACTTCAACACATAAAATAATATATAATTGACCATTTATTGTTCTCATTCAATTTCCAATAGCTGGTTCAAGAGCATAATTTGCCTGTCCTCTTTGGGGATTGTATAGGGGTAAAAAAATCATAATGGGGGAAGAGAGTTAATTACTGTTGAAGGAATGAATGGGAAAGTGGAATTTATTCCCCCCAGCCCCCCTATATATGGTTATATATGTAATATACCACTGTTTAAACAGATTTAGTCCCCTGTGGTTTGGTGGAGGAACATAAGGAAAGGTGAAAAGTCCACTACTGACCACAGAATATTT